ATACATGAACAGTTTTGTGAGTCTCTTGCAACATATAATACACCTCAGAATAGGTTTTCCCCTTTTTTCTGGCAACAAAACAGGTGTTAAGATCTTGATTTGAAGCTTTCGTGACTGCAGGAATCCATACTCTTTGGTTCTTTCGGTAAAGTCACGTAGATAGAAAATTATTAGATCACGACGTTTCCATTGCAACAACCTGAAGACGGTCGCTTGTGTTGCGATCGAAACGTCGTGATCTATTAATTTTCAATCTACGTGACTTTACCGAAAGAACCAAAGAGTATAGGTGTTAAGATGTTAAAACACCAAACTGAAACCTTTTCCAAGGAATCATGTCTGCATTAACCGTTTTAAGACTAGGCTCAAAAGAAAGCTGTCTCTAGTGTGGACCAAACAATTTCAAAGACAATGCATATATTATCAGAGTACGTTTTTGTTTGCATTCTGACCACAAGTATTATGGTTAATGCAGACATGATTCCTTTATAAAAGGTTTCAGTTTGGTGTTTTAACATCTTAACACCTGTTTTGTTGCCAGAAAAAAGGGGAAAACCTATTCTCATATTTTGGTACTGGCAAAGGAGATCCCATGATAGAGATTGGCATGTTAATGGGAGACCGCAGAGCCGCAACCACGGGGTCAGCGCGAAGTGACTGTGAAAGCGCAAGGCTTGAAATCGGCATAAAGCATAACTAACATCAGAAGGTGGTAGGATGGGCACATCATAGCCAATTATGATTGAAACTGGATGATAACGTCACTCCAATGATTGCTCAGTTTGTACCCATCTTCTCAGTTGAAATTGTGTCTGTGTCTATATATATGGATGGCTTCATGAACGATTTTTGTTGAAAGCCAGTGGGCTTGCAAAGTACATTCGTCTTAGAGAAATCAATTTCGTGTGAGCCCACCGCATTAAAACAATAATCAGCCACGGCCGTGTTTCAGATCTGCCTTATGTGTATGAACACGGTCCGAGACATGTCGCTTAATTTCCCCAATGTAACTACTGCCGCAGACACAGCTTAGTTTGTAGACGCCGGGGTATTGCATGTCAGTGATTACATCCTTCACAGATGGGATCAGATGACGAATTTTATGAACTATCTTAAATCGAACCTGGATCTTGGGTTTGCTCATGATTTTGGAAATCTTTTTATAGTGACCCCTGCTATGTATGGCAAGGTGATGGTTTTGATTGGGTCCTCAGCTGGTTCTTTCCCAGCGGTTGGGGTGATAGCTTTATGGATTGTGTCGTCTGAATATCCATTCATCTTGAGAGCTTGGTGTACGTGTTCCAGTTCACTGATTAGGTGATGACGGTCGGAAATACATCGAGCTTGATGGTGTAGAGTTTTGATGAGGGAATTCTTCTGGGATGGATGGTGGTGGGAGTCGGGTTTTAGGTAGGCATCCGTATGGGTGGCTTTCCTGTAGACATTGTCCAATTGAGCCATCTGATCTCTTTTCTATTAAAACATCCAAGAACGGTAACTTGAGCTTGTTTTGTCTCTCAAATTCCAAGCTGGCTGCTTCATTGACGTTTTCAATCAGCATCTCATCAGCGGCAGTGATGTCATCCAGATGGGGCTTTATTTGGAATTTTATAGGGTCACTGAGCAATCCTGTGCCAATCGATCTCAGTAACTTCTTGCGTACCAACTCTGGATTGCACTGGTAATCAGCTCCTTTTTCTTTAGATGCAAATAAAAGTCTCTCCTTTAATTCAATAGCTCAGAACAAAAAGTTTTGTGCAGTTTCTCTTGGCTCCTGAAAGATGTTCATCAACGACTGATAGAGATCAGATGTGCTTTATTCTCTATAGTGTCCCTTCAAAATGTTTTTTAACTTGTAAATAGTCAAATCAGTTTTTATTTCTAGCATGTCCCTCAAATTTAGACCAGGACTGATTGCTCTGACTACTGCCTCAATGATGTCAGACTCAGCATAGCCCTTACGGGCTCCTGTGTCGATCTGGTGCATCAGATTGGTGTAAGATAAGTTGTCTTTCTGCCCTCTTCCACCAATCTGCCCACAAATCCTGAATTATCTCCGTATTGTGACTTCCGGCACATTTCCTAGTCTGGCCATTCGTACGGGATCCAATGCTGCTGTGGTTTTTGTTCCACATTCACTTGAGGTTTTCTTTACCTCAAGAGTTTTTCTGGATTCTTCTTATGACTCTTGTATTTCACCATCCATATATTCAGATAGTTTTGATGGTGGCAGTGTTTTATTTTGACCTGTTCCCTTGCTGTCTTTGTCTTTCTGCTGTATTGTTTCAATGAAATACGGCAGGTTTTGAACATATGCACAGGCCTCATCATCTTCTTTTTGGTCTTCAACTTCATCGAGTACTCTTTCTGTCATACAAATCAAAGCCCGTCTGCTTTTATCTTCACCCATCTCATCATCATGGAAACACTTCAAATATCTGCATGTTTCCATGAGCTGAGCTCTTTGCAGCTACTTCAAAACAGTACTGGCCTTGTCCTGCAGCTGTTCCAGTGCCATGATGTGAAGACCGTTCAGATCCTTGCACAACTGTCTTTACATATGTTGCCTGTACAATTGCTTGGTCCGTCTCATTGGAATAGTTGATCCCCGTCAGTGAACTCTGGGAAACTCTCCTGCCTGGCTCGCCAAAATATGTTGCACACTCGAAATGAAGGAAGTTGGCAGGTGCTGAAAATCGAGGGCAAACACATTTATTGTGGTAAATCTGTAAAATGCAACAGCCCTTTGTGTCACACACAGCAATCCTCAACCGAGTCGCCATTAACCACGTGACCGGTGTACAAGTCCAGTTACTCAATAACTCTGCCAGACACCTACAGGCCCAACTCAGTTATCACATGCTGGTGTACACACGTGCATTGATGTACTGCACAGCAAATAAGGACTTTCACAACACCACACTTTACTCCATTGCTGCATGAGGAAATAATTAAAAGAGTGCTCCATTCCTAATGTGCCACACTATATTACAGTACTGCATGGAGAAGAGACTCAGTCGTAATTTGTCTGATGAGAAGGGTAAGATTTTGAGCCTGGACTTGGACAGGGGGCAGGGAATCCGCAGCACGGATGACTGTCGGAAGAGCTTTCCAAATCACTGGACCCATAAAGGAGGAGGGGACCTCCCTTCCAGTGGACATTGGGTGAAGATGTCAACAAAATCCACGGTTGCTGGAGTGGAGAACCAACAGTGAACGTTAGTGGAGTGAGATTAGAGCGGAGAGATAGACAGTGTGCAGTCGATGGAAGATCTTAAAGATGGCAATGTAAATCTTGAAGGTGATCCAGGACTGACCTGGGAGCCCGTAGAGGGAGGCAATGAAGGTGTTGTCGGGCCAATACAAAACTCAGGTTGGTCTGCGATGTTATTGGTGGTAAAAGCTTTGTAGAGATTCCCTGCTTTGAGTCGTGCAACGCTACACCAGGTGGCAGCAAAGAGTCACGCGTGAGCTTATATTGACGTGAAGAAAATGGAAACCAACGGGAAACTAGTTGAAGAAACATGCCTGGAAAACATGCAAATCTACGCAGTCGTATGCACAGGCACACTTTTCAAAAGATGGTTAAAAATCACGAAGGGCTCTTTGTTATTACAAAGGGCATTTTTCAATAACGAAGATCAAACAACCAACGCAATCAACTCGACGCTTTCAACATATTAAAATGCATCTAAATTCAAAAAACACAATTTTTTTGTCATATAATATTTTTCCTGCGCTTTAAATCCTTTTTGTTTGTACTTGAAGTTGAAGGCTTAAACGAAGATAAGACACGAGATGCGATACGAGTTTTGTGGCCCAAGTTGTTCAAATTGGGGAAACTTTTGACAGAGAAACCTAAAAAATGTTATTGTATCATCCCATTTTTTGTTATCCCACAGCGTCTCAAATTCGAACTGTACATTTACAAAACTAAAAATAACAGCACACAGATGCAAGTTCAGCAATTCAATGTGGCACTTAACGTAATTGTAATTAAATTCCCACCTTGGAAATTATGGCATCGTGAGTCGATTGTACAGGGTGCTTCAAAATTATTTGCAACAATACCACAAGAAATGTGCCTCCGGGCTCTGGAGACCACTTGGAGAAGATTCCAGGCGTGTGTTGACAATGATGGCGAACAAGTGGAGACTCTTTGACTTTTCGAAGCTATTAACATACATTTGTTATCATGTTACCGTGTAACATGACAACAAATGTACAGTGTAACATGATAACAAATGTATGTTAACATTTCTTTGAAGCACCCTCTATTTGTTTAAATGGCACAACGCGTACGGCAACAGTGGACTCTTGGTTCTCCTCCGAGCACTGGTAACGACGATGATCCTCCACAAACATCGCAAGTTCCAAGGGAAACAGAGAATCCCTGACTTGAGGCTCGCGTGAATCCAACGGAGTTGTAATTCTAGATTTGAACGTGTGTTTGGGTTAGATTGCGTAAGTATAAATGTGTCGTAACCCTCCACCACCCGACACAGCTAGTAAGGTTTGTCACATAAACAAAACGTGGTGCCAATTAGTTACTACTTCAGCCCACCGGTGTATTGGATAGTAAATCCATAACATTTACAATTTGAGCACGACGTTTCGCTGGTAATTACACCCAGCATCACCGGAAGAATTGCCAGAATTCTGGCAAATCGAAGTAGTAACTCATTGGCACCACGTTTTGTTTACTGGCTGCGTCGGGTGGTGGAGGGTCACGACACATTTATATTTAACGCGATCTAATCCAAACACCTTTATTGTGAATCGCGTGGGTCGCGAAAGCCTACGCGTTAAATTGACCGTTGTAATGCTCCGCTAAAAAACATTCCTGAGCAACCTCCCCCACCCGAAAAAAAGGGCTTTAACCACAGCCTTTTGCCCAACTTTGTCTGACCCGCCCGACCAGTTATCGTGGCTTCACAGCTGAAGGGCATGGGCGTGACCCCCCCCCCCCATCGCAGAGAGGCATGGGGGGGGGGGCAGAGAGGAAGGACGAGGGAGCAGCGATCATCACAGACCTCTCCTTGCACCCCGCATCTGTGTCTCCAGAAAAAGGCAGCGGCAACATAACGTTACGAAAGCCCAAAGCCCGCGAGGAGTGGTCTCACGCACGCCCAAAAGTTCGGTTGAATTTTTTGGTTTTATTTCTCCTCCAATTGGGTGCGGCATTCGCCTGCTTGCTGCCAACGAAGGTGGTGGTGGTGGTGGTATCATCGCCTGGATTTGTTGCGTATCGACGGAGCCTTCGTCAAGGAGTCCATGGAGCCAGCTGACAGGTGGAGCGCTTGCAAAGTGGCCCTCGCTGCGTTGCTGCTTCTCTGCGCAGTCGGCACTGGGACAGGTTTGTAAATCCGTGCTTGCCCTTCGCAGGTTCGTGTAAGGCAGTAAAAGGCAGGGACTTAATTACAGCCCCCTGACCCAGTGGTGGAATTCCACATTCTTTTGGCGTCTGCTGCCTACAGGGGCAGGCACTGTTGACGTACCACACAGTGTGGGGGAAGAAAAGAAGCGAAGGATTTGAGACGCATCCCAGAACAGGAGTTGAATTCGCTAATTTTGAGATCGCGAGCCGCACTCCACCGTCGCCGCATGACCCACGGCAGACGTGCGGGTGTTTGCGATCGCTCATTTAAGTTGCGTCCGTTCAATTTGTTGGCCCAACGGTGTGGAAGAGATGCAAAGGAAAGTCACCTGAAACGACAGCACTGATTCTGTTATAGGGACTGAATGTTGTTGGTTGTGTGACGAGCGGTGGATGCCCTGTCTGCTGCCTGAGAGCTGTGACACACACAAAAAACCCCACAAGTAGCTGAAGAATCTAAAACCGTTTTGTTCATCATGCATGACAAGAATGTACCTGGTATTTTGGCCAAGCGGAGGGAAAAGTACAGTAGGTGTCGTCCTTCCATGATGTGGTTGCAAACGCAGCAGTACTTTTTGTGATTTTGTGAGAGAAACACTTATCAGTGGCCACCACGATTGACAGCAAGCAACTACTTTTAATTCTTATTACCTGAGATATGTTATTATGCCATTCATAAAGTTAACAAGGGGGCCATTGTGATACGATTATATATCTCTCTCTCTGAAAAAATGTGTAATTCTATAGCCAAAATTCCACACACATTGTACGCACTGCCAAATACGGAGTCATCTTCACTCTTTGATTCTTTCGGTAAAGTCACGTAAGGTAGAAAAATAAAACAAAATAATAATTAAATATCACGACGTTTCGATCGCAACACAAGCGGTCGTCCTCAGGCGGATATAATAATCCAGCAGTGGAACTACACGGATTACTTTTCTTTAAATTTTCTTTTCCGCCTGAGGACGACCGCTTGTGTTGCGATCTAACGTCGTGATATATTATTTTTATTTTTATTCTTGGTTCTTTCGGTAAAGTCACGTAGAAGGGAAATAATAAAATAGTAAACATAAAACATAATAAAATAATTCTAACGACGTTTCGGCCACAACGCAAGCAGCCGTCCTCAGGTGAAGAACAGGTCTGTCGGACGCTGTCTTTCCGACAGACCTGTTCTTCACCTGAGGACGGCTGCTTGCGTTGTGGCCGAAACGTCGTGAGAATTATTTTAATGTTTTATTTTTATTATTTTATTATTTCCCTTCTACGTGACTTTACCGAAATAACCAAGAAGATGAATCCCTGCAGTCACGAAAGCTTTAAATCGAAATTTATTTTTATTTTGTTTAATTTTTCTACCTACGTGACTTTACCGAAAGAACCAAAGAGTATGGATTCTTGCAGTCACGAAAGCTTCAAATCAAGGGAGTAATCTTTGTTTTCGTGGCGGATAACCTGGTTGTGTTTGCTTTACATCTGCAATGGTGGTGCTGCTGCAAGGCTCGAACAATGTCTGCATCAGTGGCCACGCGCACCTGTGTCGAGAATGCCTCCTGCTGCATCCGGACTGTGCATGGTGTGCAATGAAGGTACGTGTGTGCACGTGCGTTCGTTTTGCTTCTCCGCGTACCATCAAGTCTTAATACAATGCTATCATTGTGTGGACGAGTTTCGGTGTGGAAAAACATCACCGCAAAGAGGAATGGGGCTGGAAAATGTGTAGTCAATTTCTCCATTCGGCACCCTACTAAAATGCGTAGGCAAATATGATCGCATTCAAGATGGTCTGGTAACAATACAACTTTCATACCACCACTGTCCAAAACTACGGGGAGAAAATGGCTCCGTCCTTTTTACCATGAGGACCAAAATATAAATTGTCTCCGAGTGTACAGCTCATCATGGAAAAAGAAGGTTCTGAGGAGGTCTCATCACCAAGTTCTTCCGTCCGATATGAGGAAGCGACTGGAGCTGATGCCCTTTTAAATCTAGATTGAAAATGTATTTCTTTAGAACTTAGTTTTGTGTTTAGTTTGTTGTCCTTCCCCCTACTACGGTGCGAAAAAAGTTCAAGATACGAACAGACATGCAAGTTATTTAGGTGAAAGAGGAAAATTGAAGTTTGCAATGGCCAGTTGGGCCATAAGGGTTTGCCATGATCTGTAACCCCAGATTGTCCAATCACCACATTCACCCTCACCCCATCACAACATTTACCCTCACCCCATCATAGTACACGTCTTTGAACTGCACAAGTAGAGTGACTGATATGTGAAGGAGGCATATTGTCTGAATATAAATTGTGTTCATTATATTCTCCAAAATTACACATGATTATTTTGTCATGGAGTTTTTTAAACAACGTAGCGTACTGAACATACTGTATATATTACATGGAGAGACGGTAAGCGCAACACATTAGAGAACGTACAAAAGTTATAGACTTCATACGTGTTAAGTAAAGTAAGTGGGCTTGAGCAGGACATTTTTCTAGAAGGGAAGGAGGACCGTGGTCAAGGCCACCAAAGGATGGACCCCAAAGAGATAGAGTGATGAGATGAGCTCGTGTGCAGGTGCTAGATGGATTGTTGCAACACAAGAACAAGAGAGATGATGACGACTAGGGGAGGAGATATCATTCAAGAGTGGATAGACCAATAGATCATAATTGATGACGATTATAGCATTTAAACCCAACTGTATCTCAAGCAAGTCCCATACTACAATTCTTGGTGGCCCGCAGGGCTTCATTTGTCATTAAATCTTTTCCTTGGCCACCAACCCCCATTCCCTGACCTCTCTTCCACCCCCACCCTCCGTCACCAAGGAAATGTTTTCTGGAGCTCGGCCCCAGACAGCTCTAGCTGAAATTACACCCCTTGTTGCACGGTTTTGCTGTCAACTTTGATGCGGGGCATTTTTGTCCAACGATATCTGGTCCCCAGGAGTACCCGAGTGGGAACTCGCGGTGCGACCTGCTGGCCAACCTGGTGGAGAACGGATGCCCACGGGAGTCCTTGGAGAAGTCCTCTAGCCACGTGCGTGTGGAGCAGAGCAATCCACTCAGCGACACGGGATCAGGTTCAGCCAAGCAAATCACGCAGCTCACGCCACAGAAAATTACCCTCACCATGATGACAGGTGAGAAGCCTTATCTTGTACACGAGTCCTAACCCTGCCTTGTGACATCTCTAACTTGTTTATGGTACCCAAATGCATTCATGAGGATTGAGAATGTGTCTGCACGTATACATACAGACTGAGCAACATCCCGACACTTTGGGTCATTAACATCGCCTTAAACCCAAAAGGCCGAAAGAAATATATATACAGTAGTCATAAAACATTTCAGGCATTAGTCATTCTTCGAAACAGGAAGACAGGGCAGATAAAACAGATAAAACAGTGAGACTCGTAGATGTAAACACTCTTTTATAATGTGGTCACTTCAAAAGTTCATGTAGTTTTGCTCGTGACTGGTAGATTAACATGTTTATATTACCAGATTAGATGTAGCAAAAGCAACCTTTTTTTTAATAAAAAAAAACGTGTGCGTGGTAATGCGCCGACGACGACTCTGTTGTGCAATTGAATCCGTGCCCTATGTCCGAGCAGGCGCTCCAGCCAAATTCCAACTCAAAGTTCGTCAGGTGGAGGACTACCCAGTGGACCTCTACTACCTCATGGACCTCTCCATGTCGATGCGCGATGACCTGGACACCATCCGCAACCTGGGCACCGACCTCTCTCGAGAAATGGCCAAGCTGACGAGTAACTTCCGCTTGGGCTTCGGCTCCTTCATCGACAAGCCTGTGTCACCCTTTGTCCAAATGTTCACAGACCCCGAGTACGCCAAAAACCCCTGCCAATTGTAAGTGTTGAATTCACACGTTGTTTATTGAGCGCTGTGTCAATTGGTGTAATACTGTAATGGTTCACACCCACATCCCACACATGCCGCCAGGGCCGTTTGATCGTTACCAATCAGGGTCACAACGCATTGTGGTAATTTTCACAGCCTTTAGTTGCTCCGGTGATCACGTGAAGCCGTTACATGCAACACGTGAATTTAAGAACATCGATTCTTATGCACGTGATTCAGGGCATGCATCATAAGCTTGAACAATCATCGGAAATTAACAGGTCTGCATCATTGCACCCTCGCAGTAAACCATTCGGTACTATACTTTAAATTTTAGTTCATGGACGACGTGTTTTGGTGATGCGTTCTCGATAATAAACTGCATGTCACTTGTACTTTGCTCATTTTTGTTGCGAGAACAGGCCGCTCGCCGTTCACACTTAAGAGAGCGACTGATGACACACAACCATGTCACTGTGACCCACGACGTGTCTGATTTCTGACCTCATTGCATACAAGCAGACTACTGCTCTACTCTTACCGACCACAAACATCCGTTTAATACTCACGTCAATATCCGTTGAAGCACAGTGACTAAGCAATGACTCTCATATGCGGTCCGGGAATTCCACACCTTAGAGTTATCTGAAACATATACCTCTTAGGTTTGAGCCAATTTTAAAGCATAGCATAGCAACCACACTTGATCTTCTTGGTTCTTTCGGTAAAGTCACGTAGAATGGAAACAAAATAATAAAATAATAAAAATAAAACATAATTAAATTAAATAATAAAATAATAAACTATAATATAATAATATGTAAAAAAAAATATTATTTTATCATTTCCATTCTACGTGACTTTACCGAAAGAACCAAGAAGATGAATCGCTGCAGTCACGAAAGCTTTAAATCGAAATTTAACCACACTTGAATTAACGTTATGCTACTTTCGTTTATTATTATTATCCTTCAATTGCTATGTTTACATTTTCTTGCAGTGTTGTGTTTCAGTATTTTTCCACGTTTGTGATGGTGCACGCCTAATGGTATCAGACTCCCACACAGAAATGAGAGCTGTGCACTCTTTTACAGCCGCACCAAGCCACCCTTCAGCTGCCCATCGACATATGGGTACCACCATGTGCTCCCACTCACCAACGAAGTCAACAAGTTTAACGAGGAGGTGCAGAAGCAGGAGGTGTCCCCCAACAGGGATGCCCCGGAGGGTGGCATGGATGCCATTTTGCAGGCTACGGTCTGCAAGGTGAGGGATGCCAGCAGTTTGCCCATGACTGCCATCGGTTCGGAATAACACAATGCTTTTGATGTCAGACAGCAAAATGTGACATAATTGTACTTTAATAAATGTCTTCGGTGAAGTTCCACTCATTATTCAAGTTATTTACACGCGATTATGAATTACGTGATTGAGTTTTTGGTGGGCTGTATTTCAAACCTTTAGAGTTTGAAGGCGGCTTCTAAATTGTTTCAGCAGCAGTATTATTAAGGTGACGTTATTGGCCTTGGGATCTAAAGGCTTTTGTGATGTGGGCGTCCCAAGGACTTGAGAGCATGGTGCAATGCAGACAATCATTTTCCATACAACTGCGTAGGTTTTTGCGGTTGTGCTACACACCTATCCGGCATGTTTCCAGTTTTTTATTGCGTGTTGTTTGTCAAGATTTCCAACGTTCCCCTTCACATTCTGGGAGCTTCTTCAGTAAAATGTCAGACATGACGCCGAACAACATGCGGTAACAGCCCGAAAACACATCAAATAACCAACAGCCACATCGGATAGCCAACTAAGAAAGTCTTGCAGTTTGCCACTTTTTCAAGCTGCTGCGCATACGGTTATGTTCTTCGCCATGACAGGAACAAATCGGCTGGCGGAGGGAGGCCTCCCACCTGCTGGTGTTCACCACGGATGACCATTCCCACTTCGCTCTGGACGGTCGGCTGGCTGGAATCGTCCAGCCCAGCGATGGACTCTGCCATCTGGACTCGAGCAATGTCTACGTAATGACAGACTCTATGGTCAGTGTTGCGAGTAAATATAACCGAAGGCGAGCGTCAACGGAAATATTTGGAGTGTTGTGCACTGCATCCATTGCATGCCTATTTCTTTAGCAGAACACTATCTTGGGGAATGTGTCCTTTCGTTACAATAAACAGCCACGCTTAATTAAAGACAGGTTTTCGCTTAGAGATAATATTGTCAGCTATTATTATTATTAATGTTTCATTCATGCTTATGATTTCCTTTAGTGCCTCCTATCTCCATGGCTAAAATATAATTATTGCCTTTTGTCATGCACTTAGAAGATTTATTTTATTGCTAGTTATGAATTTGAATTGAAATATAAATGCATGCTGTGCATTGTATATGCATTGGGTAGTCACTAAGCATTGTTACACTGATATTACTTGTATTAAAAGCAGAAAACATCATTCACTTTTCCTTTCGGGTGCAAGCAATTGTATAGACGGTGATCAAATCTTCTCATTTGGATGTAACAATAATGGAGATGCTTGTATGTAATGTTAATATAGTCTAACATATTTACATTTTCCCTGGAGGCTGCCTTAACAAATTATATTTAATGTCCACAGGATTACCCATCAATTGCCTTGGTTAGTGAGAAGCTGTCAGAGAACAACATCAACCTGATTTTTGCCGTGACCAAGGAATTTAAAGAGATTTACACGGTGAGTTTCCATGCCACTAGAGTTACATTATTAATTACATTGGCTATTACTCCCACCATGGTATACATCCACAGTACACGACATGTAAATATAAAACTTACATATGCATGCCATTACGTAACATTATCAACATACTAATGACTTTCTTACCCAACAGAACTACACTGACTTGATCCCAGGAACAACGGTGGAGGTTTTGACAGCCAACTCCAACAACATCATTCAGCTGATCGTCAGTTCGTACAAAGTATGTGTTCCAGGTATCACGCATGCAAGTTTTCAATGCAAAGTGATCTACAATTTTTCTCCAAGCGCGTGATGCTTGCTGATGAGACAAGTGTTCCCTTGCCAGAGCCTGCGCTCCAAGGTGGAGCTAGAGGTGTGGGATCAACCAGAGGAGCTGTCGGTCTCCTTCTCCGCCATCTGCCAGGATGGAAACCCCCAGCCGGGACAGAAGAAGTGCACTGACCTCAACGTGGGGGACACGGTACAATCCCAATAAACAGGCGACTTTGAGCCAAATTTGGCACGTAGTTGCAAATGTTGGCCCAACTTTCCATATTTACCAGGATAGCAATACTGCATTGCCTTCTCCACTGCGTGACAAATTGGCCCCTTTCTGTGTATTAATAAGGTGTCTCTGCTGGCAGTGATATGCTGATACATACAGTTGCATTTCTATATTCCCATCTGAAATTTTAATCATATTCTGGAAAAGTATTTGAATGTATTTGATAAATCGTGAAAAAAATGAATGTTCATTTGAAACAGTCCATTGCCAATTTTCTGAAAATTTCATTTGCGAGGCTGACCTGGGTCACCAAAATGAGTGTAGATTGTGAGCTCCAAATAAAATATCATTAATCTCGTTGCCCTCCCGACTCTCCACTCCACACAAGAGGCCATTGCTAAATGCATCCTATATATATCCGTTAAAGTGTACAGGTAATTGTGAATTTGGTGTTGTATATGTAATAATAAACATAAAACTCAAGCAACAGTATGTAACATCATGACCACCTCCACCACCCCCTGCTGCTCCCAAGCAGTCGTGATGTAAACATCCCCTCCTCCTCTGATTCAGAAACTTGAGATGCAGTCGCACTTAGATGATTTATACATTCAAATTGCACGATATTGATTTGTAAAACAGGTCAATATTCAGGATGTCAGCTTTAAATATTCTGCCACAACGGTCGCATTTTGTCCCGCGTGTTGCTGACCGAAGGTGAGCTTCGATATCACAGTGGAGGCACGCGGATGCCCGTCGCAGCCGGTGGAGAGGACGCTGAAGATAAAGCCCGTGGGTTTCAAGGATGCTCTGGAAGTTCGCGTGCTGCTGAGCTGCGGCTGCGCGTGTGAGAAAAGCGCGACGTCCAACAGCACGGAGTGCAATGAGCAAGGGAAGTCCGAGTGCGGCGTGTGCCTCTGCCAGGAGGGCCGCTTGGGTTCCACGTGCGAGTGCAGCGCAGAAGGGCCCGTGGACGGCTCGAGCGGTGGCAGCGTGAACGCAACCGGGGGTGACAGCGGCCTCCTCTCGTGTGGCCCCTTGCTGCCAAACCAGCCCGTGTGCGGAGGCCGTGGAGAATGCGTGTGCGGCGTTTGCGTTTGCTACGCGAGCGAGTACGGGAAGATTTACGGCAAGCAGTGCGAATGCGACAGTTTCTCTTGCGGACGCCACCGAGATCAGCTTTGTGGAGGTAATCCATAAAAATAATGCTGCTTTATGTTGTGCAAGCACAGCGAGTTTCAGTCTTGAACCAGGACAAAACTCAATTACGTATCACATTCGACATGCAGATATGAGCTTCAAGGTGGGGTGTAAAATACATACGTGCGTGACAATTTCAGGCATGTGAGAGTGTACAATGCTCGCAAGCCACTAAAGGCACAGTTTTATGACGGCAGGAAGAATTCACCTCCTAAAGCATTCCTTAGTCTTACTCTCTTTCCTGAGTATTACTGATTTGTTAAAATATTACTCATTAAATGTTGTCCACATCTGGATATAGAAATAATATCAAAATTCCCAATTTTCTAAATCCGTAGAAAACCATAGTAAAATAATAATATGTACTTGGAAAAAAAATATGTAACATAATCCATTCATATCAATCTCTCAATCTGAATGAGTATATGATGATTTATTTTTTACAGTATTGAGTAAAACAATAGTTATGCAACGCTATTATTCACTTGATAAGCTATCCTCACTGAATAACTATAATCTGGCCAGAAAATAGAGGCCGACACCCGGAATATAGCCCTCGTGAACCATGCAGCTGCCAAACGAAGCATTAAATATTCGAAAATGTACGCTTAGTGTTAAAAGTCCATCAACAAAACATTTCAATTCAAAATAGTTTTGTTTAAAGTGTCCATTAAAGTAAGAACGGTGTGTTTGGAAAGAGGAAAATAGACGAAGGCGATATGTTCAATGAATAGGTGGACTTTAGAGAGAGTGCATCAGCGACGTTTACAGAAGCAAATGGAGGAGAAATGCTGCACAACACAGGGCTGAGCCGTAAATAGAGAAAACAAGCTCCAGCATAAGAATACAAGCGAGCAAGCCATCCCATGAAAGGAGCCTCTTTTTTCGTCGGGAAATTTGACCAGACAAGGGGACACTCCCATATACTATAATCACGCTGATTAGCAACAAATCGTTAAGATTGTATGCACTTAACAACATTTTTTTCCAAAAGTATTTAATTTCTATGATTACCCAATACACTATAGAAATATTGGCAATGGTAAGCTGTGTGGTAAGTTTCACAGACATTGTGTAGGTGAGTTTAACACGTAAGCTTTCACGACCAATATCATCTATAATAGAGGTTTATGGGTTAGATCGCGTAAATATATAAATGTGTCGTTGAAACCCGCCACCACCCGACAAAGCCAACTCGTAAGGCTTGTCACGTAAACAGAACGTGCCAATTTATCACTAGTACAGCACACCGGTGTGTTGGAGAGCCAAGCCACAACATTTATAAACTGAGTACGACGTTTCGCCCGTAATTACAACTAGCTTCATCAGGCGACAGCCAGGTTTGTGGAGAAGTCCACCTGTTTCGTTCCTTATATAGAGGCGTAGATGTGGTGACCACACTTCTGCGCTCTTGCACAATGTGGGGGGGGGGGGGGGATTACTGAGGCAAGTACATTATGCGTGTGCATTATGCGAGCCCTTTGAACTTGTCCTTCCAGTCTATTGTTTTTATTAAAATAGCCCTACCAAAGGTGATCCCTATTGAAGTACGCTGCCCTTTGTAGGCATGCATTTAAATAATGTATTATTTGATTATTCGCTTTCACGCAGCACTAAGACGGTAGCTATCCGAACGGTTAAAGTTATTTTGATTTCTTTAAATTTCGATAGATTATCTAATTATTCTTGACCAGTAGTAGCTAGTTTTGCACAAAACTTCAACATTATCAAAATCAATTGAGTGTCCTTGTTGGCACACGTGTTCTGCTACTGCTGACAGTTGTATTTGGGAGAATTTAATATTTCTCTGATGTTAAGTCTCGTGCTGATCATTTGTCCTGTTTGCCCAACATAACATTTACCACACGTGCAGTTAATCCTAATTTTAAGACTCTTTTTTAGGATGGTCCTACTTCGGACGTTTGGTCAATTCCTTAAGCGTATGACCGGTAGTAGTGTCCAGCCAACTCTCTGATGTGTTTTTGAGGCTGTACCGCATGCTGTACCACATGCTGTACCGCATGCTGTACCACCTGTTGTTCGGCATGATGTTTTATGCTTCTCTACTGATAAAAGTCCCAGCACGTGGAACAAAACGTCGGACATCATGTCGATGAACGTGCGATACAGTACAAACGCGAATACCCTACGTGGTGCCATCATCCTCCAGGCCATGGGGACTGCAACTGTGGTGAGTGCCGCTGCCACGTGGACTGGTCGGGCGACCTCTGCAACTGCACGACGCGCATGGACACGTGCGAGTCGTCGGACGGGCTCCTGTGCAGCGGACGCGGCGACTGTACGTGCGGACGCTGCGTGTGCACCACGGCCGGCAGCTCGGGCGACACGTGCGAGCGCTGCCTCACCTGCACCGACGTGTGCACGACCCGCAGGTACGGGCGCGAGCCACGGGTGAGAGGCCCACAGCTGTCGGTGCCGCGGGTGTCGACCCCCGATGCCGAGGGTCACGAAAGAGGCACTGCGTCCACCGCACAATCGCGGCTGTCAACTGTGCCACCCCGTTGAAATGAACACAAACGCTGATAGCGCTACAGAATTACAATGGTGATACTGCAGGTGTCAGAATAAAGCAATTTGGCTTTTTTCTATGCACTGCAGATGCAGTCAGTAAAAAAACATTTAAATGATCACCACACTGAAGTTGATTAGTTTATTGATTAATCTCCTTAATACGTAATTTTTCCCTTTTATTTTGTGTTATGTTGCTTTGCCACGGTTAGGAAACAGACTTCATGGGGTTCAAGAAAATGTTTACAATAATCCTGCTACTTGTTGATATCTTCTACCTTTGCTTTGGCAGGCCATGTGTGGAGTGCAAGATCTACAAAGTTGGAAAGTATGCAAATGAGACGGACTGCTTCAAATTCTGCAAGATTCCCATCACGTCAGTCGACACTCTGGGTATGATAGCGATAGTCTACTGGCTCTGTCAGCAGACAGTTTTGAGAGCGTGCACACTTGATACTTCAACCAGTCTTTCGGCGGAATACTGCTTGGCCATGTTAATTTCAATACTATCCTTTAACTGGATTATGTTGTTGGTTTCGTTTACAGGCAACGACAGTTCAGCTATATCGTGCAGCTACAAGGATGAAAATGACTGCGACGTACAATTCACCTACATGGAAGACACCTTTGGAAAGTCATCCATTGCTGTCTTAAACCATTTAGGTACAGCAAGACGGAAATATACGGAGTATAAAAATGCCACACTTCCTGGCACAATTACATTATCAGAAAAGTCACCACTTATTTACAATTTACCACAGTATAAACTTAAAATAGTCCATCATTATCATCGGCCATGATCATCATACTGCTGGATTATGGTGTTCCCAAGCCATTGCCATCTCTCGCAGTCTTGCAATGCAACCTGCACATGAGCCGATGTCATTGCTCCATCTCCACGGTAGATGTCATCGCGGATGTGTTCCCTCTTTTTCATAACACTACGTCAATACTCTTGAGCACCAGCCATCATCCCTTCAGTGACGTGTCTTCCTCAGTTCCTCCTGCCTTTTCTTTACGGTCAATATGAACCCTCGATCTTACATTTGGTCTCTCATCAGTGTGTCTCCCAGTATGCCCATCTATGATTTTTGTGTTATTGTCAGCTTTTGTACAGTTTTTTTTTGTTCAATCTCCTTTTCTGATCCATGTATCATAGCAGGAAATATACACTGATAGACCCTGTTCTTCTTTAGGCTTGGTAAATAAAAACTAGTCTCAAAAGCACTTACGTTAACCGACTGTTCAACAACACAATACATTCTCTTCATGGAATCTGGATGCAGACATGATGTTGATGCATGATTTCACTTGGGTATGAAATCATATTTAGTAACATAAATATCTGTTACGTTGCAGGACCATGAGATTTGAGGAGGGAGGCCTTCAACCAGCATCATGGCTGATGATTTTGATGATGCTATAAACATCATACAATACAGAGACATGATTATTGATCCAATAGTTCCAACGTTTAGACACACTGGAGAAGCTCTTGGATCTTTATATACATTACCGAATAAAATGTACTCCCTACCATATGCTCGCATGCCAAGGAATTATTGGCATGTGAGATTACTGTACCGTCACTTTTGTACATAAACGGTGTTTATTACGTTTGAAAGAATGGTAAAAACAATGTAAAAGTAATAATAGATGATAACCCCTATTACATTTCGAGGTCTAACTTGATAGAAAATGTCCAAATCACTCCATGCCAATTTGACCTTGTTCCCCGCAGAAAAGTCACAGGAAACGTTCGTCATCCAATGCACTTCATCAGTCCCGGTGAATTCGTTTTCCCAGAGTTCATAGTTGTGATACTTGTCCTGGGAAATCTGGAAGACTTAGGGGTGAATTAAGAGTCCTGAGCTTTTGTTCAGTTGCATGCAGTTCTCCCCCCAGTCTGGCACTGCGAGACAAATATTCTTCTCCAGTTAGTATGTATGTTGAACTTCTTTCACACCGTACGTAGCCAACCGTGCTAATCGGAGGTGTGGTATGATCGCCATGTGCATTGCCTCTGCGTAGTGTGTCCCGCGGGGCCCAACATGCTGGCGGTTATTCTGGGGGTGACCGCCGGCATCCTGCTGATCGGGCTGGCCATGCTGCTTATCTGGAAGTTGCTCATCAGCATGCACGACCGTCGCGAGTTTGCGCGCTTCGAGGAGGAGAAGCTGCACGCGCGCTGGGACTCGGTACGTGTCGCCTGTGCCCTCGAGTCGTGCGGCTCCCTCAAGTCGCCCTCGCCAACAACATTTATTAAATGGCTGATTTTGCTAAATTTGCAAACTGTGCTCTGTTATTATGATGAGACTTATCAGGACCATAACTAGTTTTATCGTGAATTCCACACAAATCTGCCACACAAATCTAAATGTTGCAAACATTTAACTTTTTGAACACATTTTTTACACCATTGAAACGACTATATTGAGGGTGTGCGGCAGTGGTGTAGTGGTTCGTGCACCGCCATATTAACCTGGTGACCTGAGTTTGATTCCCAGCTACAGCGAACATCGGAGGCGAGTATTATTAAGTAATACATCTTACAGCTACAATTCCTTATAGAGGCAACATATACTAAATAACTGATTACTAATCTATTATATAATTACAATACCCCCCCCCCGCCTTTGATCTCTGCACCTGATGGGTTCAATAATAACGTGGTCTTGCTCTATTTAAGACCGGAAGCAGGTGGATTGCTTCACTATTCTGGCAAATTGCCCGATGATGCTGGGTGTAATTACCAGCGAAACATCGTATTCAAATTGTAAATGGTGTGGATTTGCTCTCCAACACACCGGTGTGCTGAAGTAGTAAGTAATCGGCGCGTTGTTTACGTGACAAATCTTACTGACTGTCGGGTTGGAGAGGGTTACAACATATTTATACTTACGAGATCTAACCCAAAAACCTTTAGTAAGAATAATATTGACCGTGAACGTCTTTGTGTTAAACTGACTGGTGGGACTATGCCCTAAAGAAGGCGGTGTCGGCCAATCAGTTTAAAAGACAATGCATAAACGTTCAAAGCATGTTTGTTTGCATTTTCACCACAAGTATGTGTGGCTAATGCAGACTTGATTCCTTGCAAAATGTTTCTATTTGGTGTTTGAACATCTTAACACCTGTTTTATTGCCAGAAATGGTATAACCTATTCTTATTTTATTCATACTTCTTATAATTATCATTATTAAATCATAATCATACTGCCTCTACAATACAATTCCACAATTGTGTAAAACAGCACTTCTATGTGCAATAGTTTTTTTATATATTAACTTCTTGTTTTTTGTTTTCATTTTGAAGAAATCCTTTGAGATTAGAGTCTAACAAATGCTGAACAAACTCTCGTTATATGTGCTGTTTTTTAAAACAACTAACATATTATTGTCTGTACTCCCAGGGACAAAACCCGCTGTACAAGAACACCGTCACGACATTCAAGAACGTGGCATACAAGGGAACGGGCGCAGAATGAGGAATTTCAATACAGAAAAATAACGGCAACAATTTTTTATTTGATTTTAACAACGAATTCACCGGTTCCCATTGTGATGGTCAGGATTTAATTGACATACAAATTCATGTTTTGTGCAAGCTGGACAAGGTGTATTTTTTAAGTGCTGTAGTAGTCTGGGTAATTTTCTCTAAATTCAATTATTAAAGCAGCTAATACATGACCACAACGTGAAATACTGTATCGTATTCCTATGCATGAGTAATATATTATTTTGGGAGTTACAAAACAGCAGCTAAATCTCCCGAGGCAAATAATGCATAGTCCGTCCTAGTCTATTGTGTTATTATTCATGAAAATGTCACCTGTAATCTCTTTAAAAGAGCACCATGGTGCCGAAAGAGCCCCTTTTACACAAGCAGTTTTATTCCCTTTAGACCCAACATTGAAGTACAATAGAAATGTAATGGGGTACTGAGAAAGCCAGTCGGCTTAAAGTGAACGTGCTGTATTGCCATTTCACACAAAAAGATGTTCATATATAAACTGTAATTCTCATGCCCCACTCCAGATGTTCACAATAAGTGCTCTGAAAATATTGGTATGCACTCAGCCATAAATCAATCACCGCAATTCACCATTCCAATAGTATGGTGCACATGGAGTGTGAGAATAGCGCTGCCTTTCGCCATCACTCAAACATTCATGCCTTCCACACACGGGAGCTGATAACAGGCCTGCTCACTGCTTTAGACTCTCCTTTCCATCACCATCCCCTTTGTGAGCTGAGCAGAGATGGTTTTTTTCTGTTATTGAGTCCAATGTCAGTTACATCACTGTGCACATGTACGGGAACAAAATGCCTCGCTTTTGCCAATATATTTGAACTTAAATGAGCAGGATATGCAACTTTAATTTTCGATTTTTTTATGAAATTCTGATATGTTTAACAATATTATGTTGCTGTACATGCATATGGTACGGAATTTTCAGAATGCAGAATTGCAGATGCTTGTGCTGAGCCATTTTATACCTTAAATGTTACCCACAGTATAAATCCTGTAATAAAATGCAGTCCAGTTAGCCTGCATGCTCCTTCAATTCGACTTTTCCTGGTCATAATCATTGTTAGCCTTGAGATATGCACTGCTGGATGAAGGCCTCCCCACATCAGAACCATCGCTCATCATCTTGTAGACCTATAATCCATCTTGCCCTGCACATCGGCTGATCTCATCGCTCGTTCTCTATAACAGTTGTCTTCTTGGGCATGTCTCCTCTGGCTGTCATTCCCGTCACCAGTCTCATCCAGCTAGGCATAATGGCATTTGATATTCAATTGTTTTTTTTCTCTTATAGAATTTAGTTGATTGAATATTTGTGGTCCATGGTACGAAAACCTTTTCTAAATACAGCTTGCAGGTGTGGTTGGTTAGTCTCATAATATGTTCTTATTTGTTTTCCTATGGTCTACATGAACACATTATATTCGTGTGATAGGAGGCTAATGGATTTGTTATTCTTCAAATCAGTTTTGTCTCCCTTTTAAAAAATGTTTCGCTATTTAATTTGTATAATTTCCCCCCAATGTATTCCAATTGTATTATCTGCATCATGTCATGGAAGAATGACTCAAGAGGGAAATCTCACAGAGCAGTGCGCACTGCGTATCGAGTCAGCCCCACTCCAACCTTTCTCGGAGTGAAGCTGGACCATATGCTAACCTTCCACGACCACCTGAAAAATGTAGCCGCCGAGACGAAAACAAGGCTAAACCTGGTCCAGAAACTGGCAAGCACAAGCTGGGCAGCATCAGCACCAGCACTATAGACATCAACGATGTCCCGTGTGTACCCTGTAGCCGAGTACTGTGCACCAGTGTGGACCAGAAGTAGTTCCGCTAGACTTGTTGATGTCCAACTGAACACTGCAATGCGGCCTGTCACTGGAGCTCTCAAGTCGAACCCAACACCATGGCTGCCCGTGCTGTCACACGTCTCTCCCCCAGCCATCTGCCGTGATGCTGAAAGCCTCCGGGAAGTCTTGCAAATTGAGGAAAACAGTCGCCTTCCCATTCATCAGGACCTCACTAACGTCCCTCGTCCATCACTTGAAGTCAGACAAGGTCTTTTGGACCCATGCCCTTAACCTGAAACAATACGAATTCATATCCTGACGAAGCTTGGAAAGCTGAATGGGGTTCGGAAGAACTCACAGACACCTTGTGAAAGACCCAACGCAGAATATCACTGGTTTTGAACTTCCACAAAGCTCACATGTCCACCCGAAACCGCATTCGCACAAATCGTGGCAGATGCGGATACCTAATGCACGAATGGAAAATTTAAAGCTCTCCAGTGTGTGCCTGTTGCCATCCAGAACAGACCATACAACATATTACGATGCAATTCCAAATCCACAAATATGAAGGAGACATAAAAGTCATACACTCCACTGCTCCTGACGAGGTTACCTAGCTTTACCACCTGAATGTTGCTATGCATCTATATCGGCCATAAAAAAGAAGAAAATATGTTTTCACAGCAGGGGTATACATTTTCCATACACCCTGCTATGAGATTACCATACGACAATCAAAACGATATTATTTTTCATTCACAGCTCAAATTTAGGTAAATTGCTGATTTTTTTACATCAATATTTTTGGTGCAGTCATTGGTGACCAGATTATCAACTTGCTCTGCAGTACTTGTCGGTGGTAGACCAAAGCGGCTGCCTCACTGTGTTTATTGTTGTTAAGTTGAAATAACAGCGTCCTAGCCACTATACAGGTAAACAAGGGGATGTTCTCACATGGTTCAGGATGCATATTGTTGGTGGCTGAACAACAACGAAGAGCAACATTGCTGGGACAATGTCGTGATGCTGCGTTGCCACTGGTGCACAAACACAATAAATACTTTTTAAAAACTCAAAACACTCAACAGCACGGCCTAATAATACAAAAATATAATCGCGACGTCTTGGGCATCGGCCCTTCTTCATACGCCAGAGATATGGTGGATAATAAGGGCTGGAGACTACACAATATTTGGAGATTGTTGTGTCCATAGTTATTTTAGTGTACCTTTAAATTTTTGGCAGCTTATAAGATTTTGTGAATTTAAATTCATACCCAGGTTGTACAGTATATTGTTTAAAAATTTAGCGTAAGATTTTCTGAAAAGTTATTTTGTTACCGATTCTAACAATTATTGACTAAAGTTTGCCTAAATAAAAAAATGCATGCAAATCTCTACAAATACTCTGGTGTTTAACATATATATGTAAATGCAGATTACTATTCATCACGTTTTTATTTTGCATATTTTTTTGCATAGAGTATTTAATATTGGGAGTGGTGTTCTATGTATGTTGAGCTTCTTTTGCACCGTATGTAGCCAACTGTGCTAATCGGAGATTCGTGCACTGCAATGTAGCTGGGGAAACGAGTTTGATTCCTGGCCATGGCTCACATGAGTGGCAAGTGATATCAAAAGAAGTCGTGGGACCCCACACCAACCCGCACTGATGAGTAGTGAAGTATGGTCAAACAACCCCCATGACTGGCATGGCGTGGGAAAGCCTTCATCCAGAAGTGGATTGACAAATGCCCCAAATTTTGTATTGTTGCTATTCAAATGCAGAAATCAATAATTTGAAATTATTATTTGAGTGGAATGACATTTCATTACACAAAACATAGTATTGGTGAGTCATATTAACATAATAAGCTAATTGACGCTACAACGTGAGACGAATACTATTTCTGGAATATCTCGCATCACAATTACTGTGATATCAAGTAAGCACAATGGGAACAAAACCAAGATTCCCAGACGGCGATGGGCGCTCCTCATTGCGAATTAAAACAGGAAACAGCTCTGTGTTGCAGATGATTTCATTGTGCAGTCACCAGCGTTCACTACGAGTCACGTTTGTGACTCCACATTATGAACTGCTGTTTTCTGGCCATATCTCGAATGTTGAGAGTGAGTCCGCGGCCCTCCACCGTCATCATCTGGACTTGACCCGAAGACGGCAGGCCAGGAAATGGTTGACAAACACATTCCTGCGGAGGGAGCTGGTAGGAACGTTGGGTTGCTCGGTCAATGGCCAGGGACAACGGCGGCGTGGTGTATTCCGCAAATATGCTCGACTGTGAGGGCGGGCACAAGCCGGCGTGAGTAGGTTAAACGTTGAGTTTTATAAGGGCACCACGGGGTGACCAGCCCCTCCCCACCCAGCCCCTCCCCTCCCACCCCCCACCCAGCCCCTCCCCACCCTCCCCACCTCCCCACCCAGCCCCTCCCCACCCTCCCCACCGAGCCCCTCCCTCCCCACCCAGCCCCTCCCCACCCTCCCCACCGAGCCCCTCCCTCCCCACCCAGCCCCTCCCACCCTCCCCTCTCCACCCAGCCCCACCCCTCCCATTGTTGGATGCACGACGAACGGATGGACACAATAATCCCCTGTGGGCTGGTGTAACCAGGAGGTTCCTACCAGTAAAATGTGTGTACTTGCCCACACCATTACATCCACTGCAAGACTCAGCGAACTCATGCAACATTGTGTTTGTATTCACGTTACACAAAAGCACCGTTGAATAAAAATGTACAACTGGTCAACGGAACGTATTGTTTTTACAATCGTATATGTCTTGTTCTGTGTCTTTACCTCACTGCCTAATATTTAACTTAGTTCTTACGTTTATACTCAGTGGGAACCACCCTTATGAGAATATGGGGCCGTCCATAAATGACGTCCGGCGATTTTGGACGATTTTTGACCCCCCCCCACTTCGTCACACGACGTCACAAAAAGTCAGACCCCCCCCCCCCCCCCATCAAATATGACGTCACAAAGCTCTTCCCCCCCCCCTCAAAAAAATAAAACATGCTTCAAATCGCTTTAAACGATTGTCATCGTAGTGTCGTAGTGATTATTTAATGTGGCGCTGCACTCTGATGCTGTAGGAAAAAACATTTATTAAAAAGTGTATTTAATTAAGTAGAACGTGTTGTCTATATTTATTTGAAGTTGCGAATTTTGATGTGACGTCACATTTCTCAACCCCCCCCCCCCTCGTCACACATCGTCACAAATGTGACCCCCCCCCCAGGTGCGTGACGTCATTTATGGACGGCCCCTTAATGTTTTACCCTCAATACGCATGCCATTTAATTCATACATTTGGTTGCCTGATTCATATCGATCAATTGTTATATATCTAATACGCATTGTCAAGCGTGGAAGAGTAGGCCAAATACTCTCCAGAGCGCGCTCTATTGAGCGTCCTCGAGTGGGAGCGCTTCTGCCAAGCAGTGGTGTGAGCGAGCAATTGCTGGGCTGTGCCTCTACCATCTGCACACTGTCGACATGACAATGCCTGTACGATTGTCGGCAGTTTACACCCAAGTATTGATCACTATCTGCCGCAAAATGTAAGAAGTATAAACGCATATTATTGTCACGTTTGAATACACTTTAAATTTAAGGAAGCGTGAAGTGGAGAAACGTTAGATGCGGGTCATGCCGATCCATTTTAGATGTAATATTTCTATCGGGCAAAATTTTTTTCAAACTGCAGCCAACTAACACCGACATTTCCAAACACAGCACAAATCCTTGTCATGCCTGGAGGCTAGATTCAGAAGACGGTTGCAACACGTTCATAAGCTGGAAGAGAACTGTAAAAAAAAGCATACAAGGCACAAGAAGTTACAGCCTCCACACTAGATATGCTTTAAATTAATGAAAATGAACAGAACTTGGTAGCGGGTGTCAGCTTCATGCTGTACCACCGGAATATAAGATTAGGAACTAGAAAAACGCAGGAGGCAAACAGCCTCGTCCCCATGTAGACATGACGGTGGCAGACGAAGCAGATGGTATTTGGAGCTGCTTCAGGCAAACTGCCTTGGTTGACAATTGTCAATGAGATGCATCACTGAAAGCATGATATGTCAAGTTCAGAGTCTGAGATGAGTGATTACACTTGACTTTCCATAGCTCTCAGGTTATTTTCTCAAGCCTTGACTTCAATTTATTTAATTCAAGCCATTATGTTTTAGCTATATACCATATATTAGGCCTTTAAAGAATTGTTGTATACCTGAGTTTGATGTGCATTGCATTCCCAGGAGAAAGACACTGGCAGTAGTGGCGATAAACCAACTGATTGATGCTGTGTGGTTAATGTCTTACATGTAGGAATGTGGTTTAACGCGTAGGCTTTCGCGACCAATATCATTCATAATAAAGGTTTTTGGGTTAGATCGCGTTATTTATAAATGTGTCGCAACCCTCCACGACCCGACACGGCCAATCAGTAAAAAATGTGTCACGTTGACAAAAGACAAATAGTTCACTACTTTAGCCCACCGGTGTGTTGAAGAGTGAATCCACAACATTTACAATTTTCTTAGTACGATGTTTCGCTGGAAATTACATCCAGCATCATCGGGCAATTTACCAGAATAGTGAACGTGCAGTGCTGTTACTCAAGCACCGTACACAAATAAACAACGCCAAGGCACTATTATCCGTCACTACAGCTTGTCTCGATTTTTAATATTGTTGATTCGGTTTGCGCATTACAGGCATGCAGGCATAACGGAAGTCTTCTCTGCTCGGTATTTAGAAATAGGGACTGTTTCTCAGAATGGCTATCAGCAACAAACAGGGTCAAGGGACTGGCACAGACGAACTACAGTATTTCTGTTTGGACATGAGTGTGTCTTGTCACATTCTCCACCCTTCTCCACTGATCACAACAAACCACCGCATTCTGCCCAGTTCAGATTAACCTGCTGCTCATTGTGCCCAGAACCAGGACTGTCTTGGCTGAGCGGCATTTCTCCGTGGATGCACAAGCCGCCTGGAACGTTCTCCCACTTGACACACGCAGTATCCAAGTGCCATCCACCTTCAAACAGCAGCTCGGGGCTAACCTGTCCAATCTCTCGCTTGACCACACTGGCATATTATCGACTTCGAGCTCTGGCTCTGCGCTTTCGATTCCTCGATCGGACATTGCGTCCTATTCGCATTCTAAATTGTTCACCATTATTTATATTCTGCTTTCCCCAGTGTCAACCGCACACACGTCCAGGCTTGGTTCACATCATGCTTGCTCTGCCCAGCCACAACCAGCATTGCATTTTCTCAAGCAACTATTTTACAGGAGACCTCCTCTTGTTAACGGTACTATTAAACGCGATTCCTATCCATCAGAGCTGTGGGGTCGGTGGCCCTATTCGTCCTATTATCCACGGTCATCTGCGTTTTTACCCTATGTATTATATTAAAATAGTATCCGCGATATGGGTCCTTCACATTACCGTGGTTAAGATGAGTTGTTTAGTTTATGTGCTACAGTCTGCGATTTAACAGCAACACATTCCACAAAACCCATAAGTACAATAATAATGGGGTGTTTGCATCTCTTCCGTTAACTGGTAGAAAATGTAAAAAAACCCAGCCTTCACCTATATAATAAAGGGATAGCAGAGCTGCCAACGCATGCTATGGTTGGAAATAAAATAGCCAAGTGAAATCTTCAGAATTGCATTATGACACTGGGAGTGGGGAATAAATGTCTATTTAGTACAATATACTGCAATTCATACTGATTCCGGAGTAGCATACATTGCAGTACCGTCTTTAAATATATATATATAACATGCACCTCTTTCCCATATCTGTTCCTCCACATAAAAAAACAAAGGTATTTTTTACACATTCCATTGGCCACATGACCTCCTGGGAGTGATTTCTTTCAGCGGTGCGAGTTTAATATGTACAGTACAAGTAAACTCTGAATCGGTTTTTGACAATCGGTGTCATCAGTAGTCATGCTTGCTGGAATCAATACTGGATAACCTATCAGATGTGTATAGAGAAGGTCCCGATTCAGAGATTATGTTATGCACTTTTAAAGGGGTTTGGACCCATATCTGAAAGAGATTGTTGCATCATTAACAGGTTCTGAACAATGTTTAAATGTGGCATCTATTAACGTTACTTTGGTCATTCTTCTTTGGTTCTTTCGGTTAAGTCACGTCTAAAGATAAAATAATAAATTAAAATAAAAGCATATTACGACGTTTCGATTGCAACACAAGCAATCATCATCAGGCAAAAAAGAAAAAGCAACAAAAATCTAACTAGAAAACTATAGACAGACATACAAGCAGACAGACATCACAAGGACACACAGAAAGAGGATGTCTGTCTGCTTGTATGTCTGTC